GGGAAAGATTTGTGCTTGTGATCAGCTCTTAATTTCAATTTTTAAATCAAAGCGTCCCTGAAAACGGTCTTTCTCATTGTACCCAATATTTTCACCATACGCCTTACACTCAACACGAATTTCAGTGTCCATGGTGAGGTTGGTGAACTGTGCGGCCAGCAGAGGCTGCAGGTACTTGGGCTGCAGAAGCTTGCCGTAGTAGGGGTAGTACTGCAGAGGAAAACCAGGGTAGCCGCCTAGTCCATAATATTCCACGTTTCCAACTTTATCCTTATCTTCATCGCGCTAAAGACCAGAGGGGAAAGACATTTTAATGGTTTACATCTTGGATCACTGCTTGCATACACAGAAGTCTTAGCGAAGTCTAAGAGAAGTCACCCTCTGGCATGCCTGGCTCCTGTCTCTCCCAGAAGCAGGTAAACATTATTAACCACCAGAACACACTGGCATGGTGTCTGGAGTGAGACAAAACAGTACACATAGTGTAACCCAGGTGCTTGAGAAACAGGTGGCTATATTCATTGTACAAATGGAGAAATACCAACTAAATATTCCCCCAAGCCATTACAACCTCTAGAAATAGTACCAAGTGTGTAAGTCCATTTTCTTTCTGTTCCTAAGCACAGGATTATTCCCAGTGACAGTAACCAATGGGTATCTATATGCCTCCAACACCCCACCGCCCACCTACCCTCAGTAACCCCAGGGTCTCTTTACCTTGCCAGTGCACTGAACAGGCAGGACATAAGGATTATACTTCATCAGTGAGAAATTTTCCGAAGTCTCGTTCTTGGGAGGCTAAAAATAAAACACACGGGTCACAAAGATTACAAATAAACTGAACAACTCCCCTTAGCCAATCGAGGGAAGGTGACATGATTATCTTGATATGAAAGTAAGTCTTCTCAAATTTGTGACCACTCAATTAAGCTATGATCAGTCCTCAATGTCCTTTTCTGAAGGAGACTGAGAAATGTGATGACACTGTTTTTATACACTTTGGGCTTTCCTTCTGTGCCATGAATGATATTTTCCTTAAAACCTTTTTAAAAAGCTTCAGGGGCAGCACTGACATTGAGGGAAAGCCCAGTATGTAAAACAGCAGAGGCAGCACTGACCTAATTGAAGGGTGTGGGCCAATCCACTAGGGGAAACAGAAAAAATGCTTGCTGTTCTCCCCTATAACCATGGCTTGAACCCACCTCGGCAACAAGGCAGGCAAACTGGAACACAGTCATGTGCTTATTCATATTAGTAAAAAAGCAGGTGCATCTCCACATGAGGCACAGTCTAATATGTCAGATTAAAGTGGACCATTCTCTACAAGTTAGAAACTGACAGAATCTGTGCAAAGTAAAAACCACAAATCTAATATATGTGAATGGCTCGCTGAAACCAAATCTTCTGATTTAAAGTATTACTTACCTTAGGTTTGAAGCCCAGAACTCGGTTGAGTTTTATGATGACACATGGTTTGCCATCTTTGTAGCCAAAACTCTCATCATTTATTCCAGAGCAGTTTCCCAACCAGTCAAGCTTGAACCTGCAGACTTTCCGCTCTCCTCGTTCATTGTTATATTCACCTCGCTCTTTGAAGTCACTGGGCACATCTGAAAAGGCAAACACCAGTCAGACACTGTAGTTACAATTTTCTTAGCACTGTAAAGGAAAGGGCACCAGTGTTCCTCCGTGTCACAACTACTTGCTTTGCAACTCTGCTATTCAACATTTAATACACTGAAGTCAGATTTTGCCTAAAGCTATGTTCCCAGATTTCCATGTGAAATTATAAAATAGGAAAAACTTTTAACCACTAACTCAAGCCTTTTTAACTTTTAACTTTTTTAACTTTTAAACTTTTTAACTTATTTCTTTTAAATTCTTAAAAGCATTTGTCCAATTGAAAAAGCATTTATGCATCATACTATACCAAAAAAAAAAAGTAATTTTTAAAGTAAAACTCAAATTATTGTCATTGAGTCATAGGCTAATTGACAGTAGAGAATAACAAATTTAAAGCTAAATAGAAAGCATCCTGCAGGAAAGTAACAAGAATACCATTAATTTGTATATACTTTAAATTTATACATTAACTATTTTCTCTTCAAATGGTACGAGAGATCAGTTTTAATTCATTTCTTGTGATGTGATTAACTCAAGTTATCAAGGAGGTCTTTTAAAACTATACATTTAAATTCTAATTAAATGGTTCAGTGAAACATTTTTTTAAGACTTTTGCAAATTATGACCAAACAACAGTCTGTCATATAAAGCACTAGACTTGGCAATACATAAATTGATACTGACATCACTGAGTAACTCTGCATAGATGTTTTGATTAGTAGGTATGAGAACATGGACAGAGTCATTCACTACACACATTATGAAGAGTCCATATTCATGTCAATGACTTAATGAAACAAAGCCCTTCTTTACCTTCTAGTCACTTTCTCATCTAAAATGTGCAGCTGTGAATGAAATATATATTTCATTCTCCACCCAAGCAGGATCCATTATACATACCACCCCTAACCAGTATGTTTAGTCATAGCTGATTACACCAAAGGGTCATTCGTTAAGACTGAAAAGGCCCTGTGCACCCCCTTTCTGTGGCAGGGGAACTAGAAGAGAGAAAGGGTATTTCTGGAAATAAGCATTGTTCTCAAAAGCAATGGTGTAAGTTAATATTTACTTACAACCATTTCATATGCAACTGTGGTCAATGCTCCTGAGTAGTAAAAAGGCTTGTCTGCCTTTCAGGTAGAGATCACTGCTTCTTTCATCGAATCAAAGTCATGAGTCTTCTGGTGTGTTTTTTTAAAAAACAAAACCCAAAATGGTTGCCAGTATAGCTGGAATGCAATCTTCCCATTATTTCAGGAGTCTCTGGCAATCATTAAATAACTTAATAGGAAATAGAGATAACCAACCATAGTCATCTGTAATGTGTGTACTTACTGCCACAGTCTTCAAAAATCATATCATCCTTCTGGGCTGTCTCTTTGTACTTGTCCAGGAACCTAACTATGTTCAGCACATAGGGCTCATAGCTCTTGGGGTCTAATGGGCGAAAGGAAATTTCTGTCTTTTGGATCTGAGGAATCTGAGTCAGTCCTGGAGCAGAGAGAAAGAGAAAGTAGGATGGTCAGCCAAGTTATTCAAGTTATTTATTCAAGCTACCTTTCTAGATACAAAACTTGCCAATCATATCTGGCCTAAGAGAACAGGTTAAATTCTTGTCTCTCTAATCATTGAGATTAAGTACTTAGGCTCAATGACTCTACCTTAATATAAATTTATTTCTTTAGACAGTGACCACAAGGGACTGGAGCATGCAGAGGTCATGAGGCTTAGTCAAGATTGAATCTGTTGTTCATAGGGTCCCTTTGAGTTGCAGTTGAATAGATGGCACACTTCTTCAATAACCCTCCGACAGGCATTATCTATCTCCATTTTAGGGATGAATCCACTCCTCCTCAGCAACAAGGATGGTGAAACTTCCTTACTACTTTTAGTATTTGGAGAAAGAGATCATGCTGGGAAAGAGCAATGAAAGAGGGGAAGGCCATGCACCAGACACCATGCTGACCACCCCGATGGACTTGAGAATGAAAGGAAGCGTAAGGATGCCAAGGTTCAGACTTGCTCTTCGTAGGGTCGCTATGAGCAGTCAACTCAATGGCACCTAACACCACACTGTCTGCCCAGAAAGGTTAGTTAGTCTTAGCCTCAGCTCACAAAGTAGGGAGAGCCAGCATTCGAGTCTAGGTGTGCAGTCCTCCAAAGCCAGTACTTTCCAGTACTCCCACAAATACAGTGGAAGGAAGGTGCCACTGGCTAGCATTCCGTCCTCCCTGACCCTCATGGCTACACAGAAGTCTACCAGAGAACTTCTATGCTCCTGTAGCAAAGGAATTTTATGACCCTGCCAAATCTGATAAAGAGCTATTTCAATTGGGCCTTTCAATCTAAATTGGGATCAGAGATCCCACAGTTACCACTCCTGCTCTCCAATGTGGCTGTTACCACACAGCAGAACTAAAATGGATGTCAAAAGCCTCTGCCATTGCAAGACTTATATAGTATGTCCCAAATATCTCAGTGGATCAAGTGCTACTAGTTTCTTAAATCAATCTATCAAACTAACAAAAAGCATAGGAATGGACAGGATTGAATCTGGCCACTTAATTTGTCACTTAAATTCCTCAAATACAGCAAGCACCTATGATTCTCATTTCTATTCCTCATACTAATCTTAGCTTGTCCTTCCCCACATTACCCACTCTTATTAAAAGTGTATTAAAACACGTTATTAAAAGTGTAACACTATCCAAGGGTGAGTATTGTTTGCAGTAGTAACACCCAGCAGCCAAAGACAGCAGAACACCCAGTTGTTAGCTTGTGGTTTCTAGTTATATTCCAGGAAACACAGTTAAGCTTTTGCCTCTGACGTCTTCTGAACTCAAGTTGACATTAACCATGCTGAGCTCCACAGAACTTTACTCCAAAATGACTAATTGCCTTATATTGCATTTTGACTATTATTCAATTAACCCACCTAAAGGAATAATGTGAACATTAAATTTACATGTATGTAAACCAAAATATGTAAACCAAATTCAATGTAGGCTTTTCAATAAGTATGTAAACTCTACATTAGATTTGTGGTTTTTTTAAATCTTTTTGATTCATACTGGGTTTTTAGAAACCTGTGTACTCTTCAGTAGGTCTCACATATTTTGAGAAACAAAGAAACACTGAAATCACTGGATTGAGCAGCTCATAGCAAGAGGAGGAGAAGCCAAGACAAAGAGGGAGAGAGAAGAAAGGGGCTTTTCATTAAGAAAGATGTATTTTGTTTCCAATTAGGTTTATATTATAACAAGTTTTCAATTTCTCTTGTTTTCAAAATCTACTTGTGCCTTTGAGATATTTAAACTAGAAGGCAGCCATTTTAACCTTGTAACAGTTACTCAGAAGAATTCCCTAAGAGCAGCTGTACCTGTCATTTAATACATCGCATGTCATTAGTCATTGCAGGCTTATCATCTTCAGACAAGGTCATACCTATGCCACCCCAGACACCTGAGAATCTTCCTCTTAAATGTCTTTGAAAGACAGGTTTTCTGTTCTTTACTACTATTTGGATGTCTATCAACCCTCAGTGTAAACCAATCCTCCCTCCCATTTTAGCTCTGGGGGAAGGCCACCAAGAATCACTTTCTCGCAGTTGCTTATTCATTTAAGAAAACCAGTTCTTTGAAAGAATATACAGCTTTATGGGGACACAGTTTTGACATTTTGTATAGTTCATAACTGTTCCCCATACAATTTTAAAAAGGATACCATTTTTACAAAAGGAATACCAAAACAAAAAAACAGCCAAACCCTAATATCTGTCATTAACTTAATGTATTTGTCCAAGGTCAAAGTGAAGAACAAATACATTACAAATGGATTCGAATGGTTTACAAAACCTAAACATTTACTCAGTGACTAATATCCTGAAATAAGACACCACATTGTGCATGACCTTTGATGAGGTCTGGTCCTGAGTCTGTGTGGGACACACATTCTGTTGGAGAACCACAGGATCATACTTCCGTGTTCCCATTCACTTCCCCAGCTTTCTCTTGTAGGATATATTATATTATCACTTAGGTCATGAGATGTATCAGAGCACTGATCAACGAGAGAGTGAGACAGAAACCTGATTCACAAATTCTATTCACAACAGCAGAAAGGACATTCCTGCAGCTGAAGCACTTTCCACAACCATCCTGCATGGCAGAGCCCTTCTCCTGGATGAGCGCTGTGGAAAACAAAGCTTCAGCCCTCAGCTTCTTGTCACTCCCACTGACCTGTTATTTGGTCCTACTTATCAAATCTTTGTTCCTCTTGCACATCTGATGTGAGGATTCTGAAATTAGGATTCTTCCTTTGGCTTCAAGAACATTAAAATCATTAAATTACCAGTGTTTCTAAGAAATAAGCCACTGTCAAGAAATAAACCACAGGCAAGTGAGGTGCTGAAGCCAAACTGAAGCCAAACAGTGAGACAAGGGTACAGTACAGGAAGAGGCAAGGGGTTAGTGCCCTGCCCTCTGCCCTACGCCCTGTCACTACATACCAAATCACTGGCATGGGCAGCAGCTTCCAGAAATTGCAATTAATTACCACTAATGTGCCATGGCCCTAAATGCTGCAAATGGGCTGACAGGATCTATCTGGGGATGAGGAGAGGAAAGAGATAGGATTAAAGGACATCACGTCAGCTGCTAGGTTACAAATCAAATCAATGGATTCTGAGTGGAAACTATATGGACCGCTGCAAGGACTCCCACAGTGGGCTTGAGCATGACAAGAGATCGTGCAGGACAGGGCAAGGGCAGATGTGTAGGGTTTGCACTGAGTCACACAAGACATGACAGCACCTAATAACAAATGGAAACAGCAGAAAAGCACCTTACTGGCATTTTCTCAAACGTCTCCCTCGGTACTCAAGACTTCTCTGCTGGGCCCAATAGTCCACTACACGAAACTCACTTTAATTTAACTCATACCCATTTAAGTGCCCCAAAGTACCCTACACTACCCTACAAAGTACCAACCTGAAGGGACTCAGCTACCAACATGCAGCATGAAGGGGCTCTGCTCAAGCTCCCAGTGTGAGCAAACCCAGCTTCACAGATCAATGTCTAGCAGTACATCCTGCTCCTTCAGTATACCTCCCCATAAGCCCTCAGCTTTCCTAATCCATGGCCCACAGAGCCCACAGCCTGTCTTCTGGGCCTACTGCCTTTGCTGCCACTGTCATTCATCACTAGCAACTGTCTCTTGGATTTCAGCACAGGGATCTAAGGCCCAAATCTAAGGTCCTTTTTCTTGCTGTTAGTGTGACAGCAAAATGAACCAAACCCCATGTAAGTCTTCTATATCCCTGCTTCTGAAGACCCGGTTCTGACTCACAGGTACATAACAGTGATATCCCAAGGAAAATGAGCTTTGGTGGCTTAGTAAGGAGTTGCACTGTAAGTGCTTCAAATTCCTCAGTTGCTCTGGGAGAAAAAGAGGGGCAACAGTCTCCCATGTGATTCATAGCTTCTGAAAACCTGCTGGAGTTGGCTCCAACCCAACAGCACTTACCACCCACCACCCCACAAGGATGCCCTGTACCTCCCTGACATTCTTAGCAAGTGATTCGATTCCTTCGGTGGGTCATAGCACCTCACATCTGCAGTCCTACAAATCCACAGTCATTTGGTGCAAGGAATGAAAAGTCACACTTTATGAATTTTAAGACATCTTAAGACACCATTGTTCAGGGCTTGCAAACTGCACAGTATTTTTTCTTACCAACTTGCAGTTCAGTTCCTTTCAGCTCACCCAGTATCCTAGATATACGGGCACAAATGCACTGCAGGACCATGGCTGCTTAACTTGGCCACATTTGCACATGTTGTTTAGAAGGGATCTAATTACAATGATCCTGTGTGTAAAGGGCAGTCAAAACCCAGTCAGGCCGGATTTGTACTGAGCCTTGAATCAGAATTAGCATTAACAAACCCTTCTATGAGGAATCTTTGAAGGAGCCTTAGTGATGCAATGAGGTTAAGTGCTCACTGGCTAACAGAAAGGTCAGTAGTTCAAACCCAATGGCAACAGGTTCAAGTGAAATCTTCTGCTGATGTACAAAGGTCTTTCACATTTGCTAGGTGCCCCTAAGTTAGCATAGGACACCCCATCTTTTTCTGGTCATAAATGGGGATTTAGAGATTCATATTAAAGCCATTGTCAGTATATTCTTTCAAAAACTATTTGTCCTCTTTGAATGAATTCCATCATTTTTAAATCAATGTCCTGCCTCTTGGGAAAAACAAAAAATCCCAAGCAAAGTGGTTGGGAAATGGGAAGAAAAAAAGATTTGATATTAAAAAGTCCAGGTATCAGATGAAGATCAGTAAGGACTTTTCCTGTGACTCAGGCCCAAGGACAGGAATGCATATTTCCAAGATGAGCTACCAGCATTCCTTTGGAGAATGAGTGTTTGTCAGGCCGGTCCAACTGCTACGAGGACACTAAATATAGGTGCAAAGAGCTTGTCTTTTAAGAAGGGGCTGGGATAAAGGGGAAGCAGGGAATGCTGGAAGGACTTGAGCATCTCAGCCAGCGATTCACAGGCATGGTCAATGGCAAGACCTTATTTAAAAATCCCTGCATATTTCAAACTTGTTTGAAAAATAATATGAATAAAATTTTTCCTTATAGTAATTTTTAAAAAAGGCTGAGTTCCCCCAAAGTTGTTATTTTTGTTTTGTTGTTATTTTTGGCTTCTAGTGTAATTATTACACTGTTAATAGAATCATAGTCATAGAATCAAGTCTATTGTTAATAGACTTAAAAATAGCTAGTAGTCAGAAACGAAAAAAACCTCTAGCCTACACAATGTCAATTACTAGTAATTGCTATCATAAAAATTCTCACATAAAACTGTATGGACAGATGCAAGAGCCAGTGCCAAAAGGTTCTAAGCTTTGCTGAGCACATTAAAATGACTCTCAACTTTTCCATAGACCCATTTCTTTTGGGAAATAGTTGCTGGAAACTGGATTTTTAAACTAAGCTGGTTTGTCATCTCATATACTTACGCATTCTTTTTCCACTTCCAAAATTCCTTGGGTCTAATTTTAACTATCTGGAAATATTCTGGGTTTTTCTCACAGTAGACCATTATTTGACTTGAGGCTATAGGACAACCTTTGCCACCTCAGTATTTTGGACGTTTTTTCTTCTGTCTTTCTCACCCAAGAGACAGGAGAGGGGTGGCCCATCTGTGACAGGCAATGGTACTTGATCCAGTCAGTGTCATGGTCATGGAGATGGCTTCAAGAGTGCCCCCTATAGACAGTTAATAAATGCCACCCAGGGAAAGTGGCGCCTTGCCGTGCCACATTCCCAGCAGGAGCCTCAAGGTCATTTGAAATGTGAGAACACGGAAGTTATAAAACACTTCCTCTTTCAGGACAATGATTTCAGAAGAATCAATTAAGATCATGTTTGCTATTGTTCCTCTATCAGTTTAGGGACTGTTAGCAGTGGGTCTTCCCTGGGCTTTAGTGACCGGGTGTGGAAAGACACAGCTTTGGTCACAAAGGACCCCAAAAGGACCCAAAAAATCATAGCAGGAAATGCATGTGGCATTTTTGCAATATTCTATGGCAATTTTTGTTAACTCAGTTTTGCAAAGTTCAGGTTCAACTGCCAAGTGGGTACAGAAAGCAAATACGACTCCTCTTAAGTAAACAGGTACAGGGGAAAGAGTGTGACTTCATTCAAGGTCAAACTGAAGAACAACCAATGAGTGAATAGAACAATGAGTGAAGTCGTGGCTCCTTTCCCTATGAGAAGGAGGCCGTTTCAGAGATTCACAGCATCCTTAAAAGTAAGGCAGCCTTAAAAGAGGAACCAGTGTTTTTTAAAGAAGATTTACCTGAGCCATATTTGCTTTAAGAAAGTGAAAGGCATGTGTGAGAGCTGGAAAGGCCCTTCCTTGATCTCACCAACCACCCCTCACCCCTCATTAGTGGGGCCTGCTCACTGTGTTCAGCTGCTTTGAGGGGCAAGCTGGGCCTTTAGGACTGACCAAGGCCCTTCCCCTCCCCATTCCCTTCTGAAGCCCCTGGGAGCTCTGCCTGCAATGCGGCCAGTAGATCCCACTGCAGCTGGGAGGAGCTCCTACTTCGCTCCAGGATTCATTTCAGCCCACACTGCATTATAATTTAAGACATTTTTCTCCCCTGAGAAAGGAATGCCCAGTTTACCTCTGGAGGAAGTGAACTCATTCCCATTCAGTTTACCTGGTGGGGCCACGCGGTCCTGATAGGTAGGCTTAAATTCACTGATGGTGAGTAGTGACACCTGGATGGTTCCGATGAAGATGCCAGCCAAGCAGCCGTAGAATATTACGTAGAAGAGAAGGATCTTAACTGCAGGGACAGAAACAAAAGGGCTGTGATGCAGTCACATGCTCAGAAGTCCGGTCGGCCAGAGATGAATGGATTTCCTGGCATCCTCTCCAACCTGCTCCTCCCAGAGCTTCCTCCCCTAGCTCTGATCTTGAGGGGAAGCTTGCGTACTAACAATGGGGTAAAAGCGGGGTGAGGCCGGGCCAGCACCCCTCCTACATCTATAGGAGGCAGGAGAAAGCAACTAGAACTAAGATTCTTCATAAAAGGTAACTAGTCCCTAAATGGGAGTGGGGGGACCCAAACAGCAGCAAACGCACAAATTCATGGAGTTCACTAGACTTTGTGTGCTTATGCAATGCCTTTCAAATATGCATTCTCTTAGAGACATCTATTTTCTTTGCTTGCTTATCCCTTGACATTTAAATACTACAATCCAGGTGTTCCTCCAAGCACTCCAGTGTCAGTGTTTGCAGGCTGTGAGAGCAAGGAGGCTGGGAAACCTGGGACGGCCTCCTCAGGTCGGTATCAAGGTACCTGTGAATGTGGATTACTGAAGCAGCACTGACTTTGCCCTCAGGGGAACAAGGTTAGGGAGAAATACTATGGTAAAAATGGCAAGTATGTTTGCATTTCAACTTCTGACTGGCTTGATGGGTTATGTTTTATTCCCTCACCCCAGGTTAGTAGAAAGGTGGAAAGAGCTGGAAAAGCAAAGCTAAAAAAAACCTCACAACCCCACAGCAAAGACTGGAATGAAGCTATCAGTTACTGGTTCACAAGGATTAACTCCCCGATTAGCCGCATAGTAACAGGCTGTACTAGGCATCGCAGGGCAGTCATGCCAGCCAAGCAACTCTCCCTGAGCATGAAAAGTAGGAGCAAGAGAACCGTAAGGGCTTATGGTGCAGAGAAGGACTGTACACACGGGCTTGGGTCCACTTCCATTAAATCCCAAGAGCCATCGGTGTAAAGCACAGAACAAAAAGTATTGAGTTGTATGTGTGTATGGGGTCAGAGAGGTACACTGCTGCAGAATATAGCCTTAGTGCTTTCTCCATGGGTTTAAACCCTCAACTTTCCTACCAGGCAATAAACAGTTCTGAGGAAATCATAAGAGCCATTAAAATAAGCAAAACACACAGTAACCAATGTCAAAATGCTTAGTCATACCCTTTCTCAAAAGAAAAGCCAAAGAAATAGGCAGATTAGGAAGAATGAAAGACAAGGTTGTATATCTAGAACCAGAGCCACTAACCCCCCTCCCTGATTCCCTCCTTCCCAGGAGGGCAAGGGTTAAGTACTGCATTTGGTATCCAGGCAGCCTATGATGTCAAGATTTGGAAAAATTTTCCAGTGACTGCTCCTAAGAGATCCATGCATTGGTATATAACACAGTCAGCAAGAGCAGATTTGTGGCCTAGATTCACTCATCTTCCATTGCCCCAACTTCACCACATGTATCTCTACCACCAACTGCAGCATTTCTATTGGCCTGGTCTGTGGATAACCTAATTCTACCCACAGGAGGTGATGCGCAATCTAGGCTAACATGTAAAATGCAAAGGTGAAACAGGTCATGGTGCAAGTGCAAGGAACAAAAAGCCTCTTTTAGCAAACTCTCCCAGTATTGCTGTGAGGTCAGTTGGTTGGCGAGGACAAGCGGCCTGGGTAAGGGCCAGTGCTATGGGCTCAGTGAGCTGCAGGCTTAAAACAGCTGGACAAGTGGCACCACAGGGGGTAACCTTTGTAGCATTTTTCCTTTTTAGGTATTTTTTTCCCTTAATGTAAGTGACCTAGACATTTTCGGGGGGGGGGGGGGAGAAAACCGACTGCCCTTCAAGGGGTCATGAACAGATGGAAGAACTTGCATCTGGGCCCAGGGTAAAAATTTACTTAAAAAGAGTGGATGGGTTACAGTGAACTGTGTGTGCCAGCAGATGACAACCAAGTCTACTGCATCCATCTTGGTGAAAATCTACCTAGAAGCAAAAGGGAGCCAAGGGCATCATGTCCTGGTCCCAAGGGCATCCACACTGGGCCCAGTGCTGGAAAAGGTGTATTTCTTCCAAATGGGGCAGCAATTGCTGTGGCTTTCTCTGCCTAAAAGCAGCTGTGGCATTTCTGACACTGCCAGAGAGAATAGTCATTGAAGCAAACAGCAAACAAAAAGACCTGGATTTACAGCGTGGCACCTGCACTTTGAAATGGAAGTGAGGAGGGGATGAGCATCTGCCTACCTTGGTGTCTAAAATTGATCAGTCAGTGTACTGACCTCTCCCTGGGTTATCACCCAGTCTCTAATATGGATGTGCTGTCCCATTAAACATCAGCCCTAAGAACAGATTTTATACTGCCTTATTTTCTAAGGCAAATATGATTCTAAGCAGCAGCACAGAATTAGAAGATTTTTATGAGAAAAACCCTAGAGGGTAAATTTCACAACAGGGTCTGCAGTGGATGCAGCCCATGCATGCCCTCATGGCAGTGTTGGGGTTCTGACAACCAGGCAAAGAAGGGCCAGCCGACCAAAGGGAGGGGTGCTGGCTCTGCAGTGCAGCGCCCAGGCCTCGCTCAAGTTACAAGGAGTTGCTAGGAGATAGCCTTGACCAGGAGCTGTTCACCCTATACATTCTGGCTTTATGCTACCCGTTCTTCAGGTTTCCCTCTCTGCGTAAGAAAACACAGGGAGCTATCTCTGTGCCTGAGTAACCAGGACAATAATCTCCCTGAAGGACAGTGTCCCCAAAACAAAACAGTACTGAAAGCCATTGCTGTTAAGGGCTGTATTTTCAACGGCTAAGGCCCAAGCTTCCTATTTTAAAGGTATAGAGGAAGGCCTCACCTTGACTAACCTTGACATATGATGCATTATTAACCCTTTACTTTTCGATCAAGAAAGTCTCACTAAAAGCTGTTTTTCCACCTTAATAAAAAAAACAACAACAAAAAACCCCAACTGTTTCATCTTCAATTTCAAATTTCATCTTCAGTTTCAAAATGTCAGCCAAGCTCTCATTTCCCTGACTCATGCTGCTCATTCCCAGACTCTTCCAACCAGGTGCTCTATATCAGCCTTTATTCAGGGTTCCCTATGGCTGCACTGGGGGTGCCAGCTGTGGAAAAGGTAAAGGTGATGATGGTGATGACACTGGAGGAGGAGGAGGGGGCAGTGATGCAGTCAGGGGGAGTTCCCCTCTCATAGCCCTGCAGTCACGAATAGAGCAGACTTGTCTAATACTCTGCCCTTCAAAATGACCTTTCTCAGAGAAACATGTCACCTTTTCCGGTGCAGGAGGCGGAACACAAGGCAGGTATCTCCTTTTCAGTGGGAAAAAATATCCCTCCAGCCAAGCAACAGGCTGCACAAAATCTTTGAAAGATACTTCAGCCTTTGTGACATTTCTTAGCCCTCCCCTTCACCAAAATCAACACTGGCCATGGGTTCTCCATTTGAGGTCTGTGCAGACCTCAAAAACCACCAAACTTTGTGAGGTTTGGGAGACAAACAGGGTGCTGACAAGGAGCTTCCTGGGCCATCACTGGGCTGTGACGACGCCCGTGGAGGTCACCGAGGAAAGAGAGTGGCCATTGCGACGCAATACTGCAGTATGGATGGATTTCTAACCGCCCCCCCCCACATCTTCTTCCTCTTCTGGAGTACATATTTGACTAGAAGATGCTCTACACGTAATCTCGCCTGCATTAGATCTGATTATCACATGAAGAGCCTCAAGCGTCATTATTTTAAGGACGTGGGGTATGGCTGAAGGGCGAGAAACACCTAGCTGCCAAAAGCCTACAATTCCCTGGAGGGAAGGGCTTGACCTCCGCTCCATAGGATGGACTGCCAATCCCTAAAACCAGATTAATTTAACACGCTGCCTGGCATGCCCCTGCCCCATCGTGGGGGCTCCACGTTCCACACACGGTGACAAGCCAGAGACCGGCGCAACCCACCGAGCGGCAATGCCACCCGATCTGGCCCCCTCCGCCCTGGCCAGCGCGAAGCGATCCGCTGCTCCTGCGAAGGGGCGCGAAGGGCGAGGGCTGCGGACCCCGTACTTACACCAACTGCCACCGGTCCTGCCCAAAAACTCCTTTTTCTCCGAGTTCCAGATGAATTTCTTCCAGCTTCCTTCTTCCTTGGCTTTTCCCCGGGCCATGGTGGCGGGTCAGCAGATGCCGCGGAGGCTGAAGGTGGCTGACTGCGGCGCGCGCCCTGGCGTCCTCTCTGGCTGCCGCTGGCGTGCCCGGCCTGGCGCTGCACAGGCTGTCCTCGCTGCTGCAGCTGCTGATCTCCGAGTGCGAGACGCGCGGCGAACGAGCTGAGGCAGAGCCGGAGGAGGGGGAGGCGGCTGCGGGGGCGGAGAGGAGGGAGGAATCACTCACGCTGGGCGGCTCCGAGCCCCGCACCTATTGGTGGGCGAGCGGCCGCGAGCGGGCTCTCTTTGGTCCGCCACGCGCTCCTCTCGCTCTGGGGGTTTGGAGGCTCCGCGAACCCGCAGCTGCGGTTCTCGCCCCCTAGGGACGCGTGCTAGGCCTCCACCTCCTGAGACCTCTGACTGGAGAGGCCAGAAGCAGAAGAGAGGTATAGAGAAGAATGGCCAAATAGATTTAATACCTACCGCAGGCCACAAAATTGACTGAAGACTCACGGCCCACCTTCGTTATATACCGCGCCGCGGCGGCCCCGAGCCCCACTCGCAGCCGGGCCGGCCAATCGCCGCGGTGCGAGGGCGGAGCCCAGAGCCCGAGGGGGCGGGCACGGGGCTGGCACAAAGGAGCCGCTGCTGTGCTGGGGACGGGGGCTCAGGGCGGGGAGGAGGGGAGAGAGGAGTGCGCAGCCGAACCACGCAGCCCCCTCCCCGCCGCGCGCTGAGTGCGGACCGCCCCTTCCGCGGAGGGCACTCTCGCACCTAGGTCGTCGAGCGCAGGCTCTGGCACCACATCCGGCCGCCACGCGGACTCCGGGTACCCCGGCCCAAGCACTTTAATGCAGCCCCTCCCTGTACTCCTCCGCGCGTTCCCGGCCTCCCTCTGCAGCAAGTCGACCCCACCTAGTCCCTGGCGGGATGGGAGAAGGTCACCCCGGGACGACCGAGGGTCCGGACTGCCCGGCCCGGCCCCGCCCCGGCGCTCGCCTCCTGCACCTGCCGCCCTTTGGCGCTCCCGGACACTGCGGTTACAGTTCCGGCCCTTCCCTCTTGATCCAGGCCAGCCCAACCAGCAGGCCTGGCTCCTGATCGCCCGCCGGGGCTGCCTGCGGGCGACCTGAACCACCTCGAGCAGGACTCTTGCCAGACCATTAGACTGTCAACCTCCCACTTGGGAGATGAGCTTCGGGAAGGGTAGCAGGCCGACCAGCCCCCAGTGTATCTGCCCATCACAAACTGGTTTCATGGCTCTAGGTAGTCTAGACCCCAGGCGACAATGTCTGCACGTGACCCAGCCACTGAGGATTCTTCTTGCTGCCTGGCCGGCTGCTGATATTATTATTGGTTAAAGTTTTGTTCAAGGGTAACGATGGCTTTGGGCTGCGGTGAGAGGACTCCCTCAAAGTGTCTATAGGGAGACCCAGCTCCTGGCAAGAAGTCCCCCTTCCCGTTCTTTATACGTTCTTGATGAAAAGCTAAGCCCATTGGTTTCATCCCCTTCCAGTGAACCCCTGGGAACCTTCACACATTCCTCTCAGGACAATGACACAGCAGAAAGCTCTGGAGGTTCCTCTGCAGTCACCGCAAAGAAGCCCTTAAGGGTGAAGGTGACCCTTCCTGGAAAAGATGAGAACTACCCAGGGCAGAGAAGCTCCCCTGATTGATACTATCCCCAATGGCAACCTTCAGGCCCAGGGTCGACCTTCAGTGAGGTCTCTCCCATTCACCTTTTTCATGGGCCCCTGCCAGACGTGGACCAACCTGTAGGGCTCTGTCAAGGGCAACCGTGAGAACAGCATGCTCAGAAAGGAAACCACCCCCTGCATTGCCCCCGCAGTGCTTATGTTGGGAAAGCCCCAAGTTGGTGGCTGAGAACTGCAGGAAGAGGCTGCACCTGCAGATTTGATGCCTCTGAGTCCCCCGGTGGTTTTTCTCATGGAGGACTTTCAGCAGGACAGTTTGCTGGGAAGGCCATATGTGTGAGGACCCAATACATATGTCTATGGGCACAATCAGCAAAAAGGGATGAGTAGAAGAGAAGGAGGAAGCAGAGGGAAGACTTGGAGCCCTACTTGGTCCTTCACGTTGCCAAAATACACACACACACACACACACATTGCCATTGAACCAAATCTCAACTCCGTGAACCAACCCCCCTTCATTTTCTCCTGTATCACATCTTTCCATTTCTTCATCTACCTTTTCATATAGTAACATATACGACATACTTTAGAACCCTTGCACATTCTGAGTAGTCTGATCCTGTCTGGCAAGAGCAGGCTTTCTCCCTTTTCCTTGACCTACTGTTTCTCTCTGTGGAATACTGCCCTCACAAGTTTTCATTGCTCACCTTTTGATGAAGTCCTAAGAGTCATGCCGACATTGTCTGCTGCCTCTCATTCTTACCAACTCCTCTCAGACTTCTGAGAGACCTCTAGTTTCCACCAAAACCTGATACTGCTGCTGGAGAACATCCTAATCCTTACGGATTTCTCTCACCTCAAGTGGCTCACCTCAATTTCTACCTGCTCCTCCCTGCCCTTCACCTCCCTGTAGAATTTTCACCACATCCTCATGCAGCCAAGTGATTAAAAAGAACTGCACTCACACTCCCAGCTTCACCACCTGCTGGTTGCATGACCCTGGTCAAGTCACTCTTTTCTCTCTAGGGCCTTTCCCTCAGTGGTAAAATCTGTTGGGAGGATTACATGTGAGATGTAGGAAGGTGTTAAGCGCAGTGCCTGGTGCATAGCAAGAGCTGGTAAGTGGCTAGCTTAATTACAATTAGCTATTTCCATCTGCCCTTGTCTAACCTTGGGGCTGTTGAAACAACTTTGTCACCTTCCCCATTTGATACCCACCCTCTTTCCAGAACTCTAAGTTCCTTCCCATCAGCCTCTAGGTGACTCTAATTCCCCACCCTCCGTGTCACTTTTCCCTTTGGTTCCTAACGTGCTTCCTGTTCTGTGACCTCCTCTAACTCTAGTAATGAGTAACTCAAACACAAGATGTCCCCTTAGGTTGTGCTGGGCTGGGCATTTGTTCTGTGAAGGGTACTCTAGGAGCAGGTTGAAATCAAGAGGTGAATGGCTCCTAGAGGGCAGGGTGAGGCTGGTGGGTGGAGGGTGTGGCTGGGCGTGGGGGAGGTGTGGGCCCTGGGGAACTTAGCAAGCTTCTCACTACAAGCCTAGGAGGTTTCTCTGCAGATAGAAGGGAGAAGGAATACCTCAGATGAGTTTACAGGCTCCGGGCAAAGAACAAAGTTTCATCTCCCTACCCTTTCTCCCCCATGCAAGCTAATAAAGAGAGATGGTTCTGAATGCCATGAAAGGTTCTGCTCTAGATTGGTGTCCTGCATGGGGGATGGGTAGAGGGGAAACAGAGAGCAGGTATAGCAGCAGAGAGAGAGACCTCTGCCCAAGTGAGGATGATAGTTTCCAACTAACTCAGAAAATAGCAGGCTGCTCTTGTGACCAATGAGATGAAATGATACAGTGTCTGTAGCAATGGACTTAAATGCAATGAGGATGATAAGCATAGCTCAGAATAGGACTGAGTTCAGATCTATTATTCATCGGGGGGTCATGAGTTGAACTCAACTACAGCATTTGACAACTTGTGACCGAAACTGAGTCTCTTGTGAGGCAGGAACAGGAAGGTAGTAACAGGACAGGGACAGTCCTGTTTGGGAAAAATAAATAAATAAATAAAAATAATAAAGCCAGGTGGAGAGAAGATGCAAAACAAATGGACCCTAGTAGCCTGGTCCTTCTGTGGGAGATTAGAGACTGAAATGCAACTTCACTTGCCTGTGAAAGAGAGGGTGCTGCTTGGCAGGCAGCAAGAGGAAGATGTAGATCTTCAAAACCGAACCCCTGAGTTATGGCTCTCAGAAACCCCCTTGCTGGACACAGTGCAGCCTCCTCTGCAGAGGGCTCTGGCCGGCTGCCTCACCAAGCCACCGTTCACACACACGCTGGCCGTGAGCATCAGGGCTCTGTTCTGTCAGTCCCGGCGTATTTTAAATACAGAATGGAGGGGGTTGAGAGTATGTGTTGCATGATGACTCATTCTGGCAGCAGAAACTATGTGCAGTGCTGACGAAAATGGCTCAATAGCAGGCTCTGTTTGCAGTGGAAAGAGGCCAGAATGCACAGCTCTGCAGTGGAGGCCTGCGGAGCAGAGGACCAAGGGGGTTGAGTGAGGTAAGCCCTGGAAATGATGCTGGCTCGGACCAGTCACCACACTGGGAATGTGAGTGGACTCCTGGGTAACCCTGACATGGGGCCTGGACTCAGAGCCCTAACCATTAGCCATGGATTTCTGTGGGTGTTTCTCCACAGAACAACATCCTTTTGTGCTAAAATTTTAGAAAACGGAATTCTGAATTTAGTAGAAAAATTGGTCTAGAATGGTTCTGTTTTTGTAAAAGGATCCAAGATTTTGAGTGGGGATAAGCAGGAATTTCCTCACTTTTTATTAACAATTTTGTCTCACTGTTGTTGTCGGATGCCATCGAGTCAAGTATGACTCTTAGTGACCCTATGAACAACATACCTGAATCCTGTCCTATTCTATGCCAACTTTACATTCCTGACACACTAGAGCCCATTGCAGCAGTCACCATGTCAATCCACCTGGAAGAGGGTCTTCTCCTTCACTGACTCTCCACCCTTCCCAGCATCATGTCCTTCTCCAAGAAATAACTCCTCCTAGAAACAAGCCCAAAGTCTGTGATGCGAAGCCTCATCACTCTTGCCTCAAAAGAACGCTCTGCCTGCACTTTTTCCAAGATCTGTTTGTTCTTTTGGCCATCCATAGAATTTCAGTACTCTTCTCCAACACCTCAGCTCAAAGGTATCAATTCTTCTTCTGTCATCCTTTTTCATTGTCCAGCTCTCAGATGGATAGCAAGTAATCAAAAAGACCATGACCTGAATCAGTCGCACCTTAGTCCTCAGACTGACATCATTACTCCTCCATATTACTCCAATAATTTGGAAAGTTCC